ATATCATATTATGACCCAATATCTTACATTATATTATATATACTTGTTACTATGTCTATTATATCATTGATTATTAATTATCTTAATACTTTTATTGCCGTCGATTCGTCCGCCTAGTGAAAGGTAATTTTATATTCAACGTGTATTTCGAACGGTAAATCAGCTGGCTCGTTGGTCTAGGGGTATGATTTTCGCTTAGGGTGCGAGAGGTCCCGGGTTCAAATCCCGGACGAGCCCAATTTTTTAAGTCTTCTTTTCTTGGTCCTTTTGTACGCATTATTTTGTTAGTTTAGTTATGAAGATCTCGCTGTTTCTTGGCATCGCGTTTACTTACTCTGTTTTATTTAATTAACTTATTTTTCAATAATATACCGTATTAATATTTTTAATAACGTGCATTAGGTATTAGTAGCAACAAAAAATAGAATTTTATTTTTGTACTGCTGTACATTTACTTCTAAATATATGATAAAATACAAAAACGGCCCACACCTTTACAGATCACTCTTCGTTTACTCCAACCAACCAAATAGCATTGCCGTAAACTTTCAAAATCTGTCCATTACTCATTTAAGAGGAAATAGTGTTGAGGCAACAAGAAGGGTTTACAGTACCAGCATAACTGTAGGAGACGCAAACATTTATATTTTGCAATGCAAATCGCCTGGCGTTTGCCAGACACCGGCCGCAAGCCTGCAACTGAGTATTCAGTGGCGCCAGATGCAGAATTACTCAATTGCTCGAAGTGACGAAGCGGCTCGAAGTTCGACGAAGTGGCTCGAAGTCAGTATGCTCTTTGATAGTAAACGTTTTATTGGGTAAGTTAGAGAATGTCTGTAGATATGATTTAATTTTGTCTGAGGACCTAGAAGTACCTATTTATAAGCTTAGTTCCGATACTCTTTTGTATGTACAATAAGATTTTAAAACAAATAAAATCTATAATTTTTTGAATTAAAATAGGTATGTATAATAAATCAATATCTCAAGAATTACGATTAATCTCCGAACTTTTCAATTTTGTAATTTGTGAATGTCGAAATTACTTAAAATAAAATAAAAATACATCGTAACTTTCACTGAGAGAGGAGTCTTTTATAATAGCTTTATTAACAAATGCACTCCGCTGTATATTAAACAAAATAAAAACAATTGTTTGCCATACAAAGTTAAATACTCGACATTAATCTTTCCATTTTTTACCGGGATCTCATTCAAACGGTGGTTATGCCCTCATAATATTGGAATATCTATAGCAAAACGACGATAGAATTAATCGTTCCATTCGCTTCCGTCACCGCCCGGCTCTATATGCCCAGATAACAAAACAAAGCGAGTAATATTATAAATAAATTTTTATTAAAACCGAGGGCATTCGGATATTTCAGCGGGTTGATAAAAATGTTTTATGATAACTTTTGTGTAACAATTTTAAACGGTGAAAGATTACGTCGGGTATTCATTTGTTTCAGTGGTAATATATTATGCAAAATATTGGTTATTTTACAGCTATTTTATTTAAAGGCGTTTCTGCGACAGGTTTCCATACAAAGATCTTAAAAAGATCAAAATCAGGCATGCTGTTATAGCAACGGTAACAGTCCTCTTTGAGGAGTGGCTTGAAAGATGCCACGGCGTCCTCAC